CTAAAGGGGGCCCAAGGTAAGAGTAGGTTCATTTTTAATTCTGTTTTTCATTATGCCTTGCTTCATTATGAAGTCTGCTTGAACTGATACACAGGTTATAAGCTTTTTTTCTGTGCCAATTTTCATTTTTCATTACTTTCATTTCTTACTCATTTTTCTGACAATACTTTCAACATTTTCCAAGTCAAGCTCGAGGGTTCTGGGAGTTTACTGCCTTCCTGACCTTTAATTAACAAGATAACAATTACAGTGTAGATGGAAATTATGGCTCCTTTCAGGAGAGAAAGTTTTAAATCTTTGCACTGACATTTAGAATAGCCATAAGGTTGCATACTTCATTACATGCTTATTATAAATGTACACCAGCAGGCTAGAAGATCTTTAATTAAATGAGATGATGTCAGCAGTAATATGACATGCCTTCCAGCATCACATGTCTAAATCTCTTATCTTTGTTTTAGGAGAAGACTTGAAAGCCTTGACGCCTGAGAAATGATGTATAAAGAGAGCATGATTAAGGCTATTACACTCATCTTGTCTTGCCTGCTCTGGCAAGTCCAGGGGAAGCCACTATTTCCTGGTGAGCAACACTATTTTTTTATACTTTGGGTGCTTTCATCTGTGCAGAGTTTAGTCCATTTGAATTGAACCCTGGTGCAGGTTGTTTAAGCAGACGAGACCACAGCAGTCGCACTCAGATGCAGGTAAAAAATAAATCATCTGGGAGGTTTCAGTTCTGTTCCAAGTGAACTCTAGAGCAGTTTGATTGCAGTGAGAAAATGGTTCAACTCTGAATTGAACCAGCTGCAGGAAGTGAACTAGACATATCATGTATTTGGTGTGCATTTCTGTGTACATCTGAGCTGCTAAACTGACCTGTGAGGCAGAAACTGAGCCAGAAGGACAGAGCTCTAGTGCTGCAGAAATACCATATGTACTAAAGATTTGAACCAATTAACAAAAAGAGAAAATAAATGCTGGATGTGATACGCAAAATGTTTTAAACTAGTTATTTATATAATTATCAAGTAATTTATTGAGTTATTTCTTCTTTTTTGTCATGGCATTTCTGGCAAGTGAATGAAAGAGTTTTATGTTTTAAGACCTACGGTGGATATAAAAAATCTACAAAGCCCTGTTAAAATGGCAGGTTTTTGTGATGTAAAAAAATGAAACCAAGATAAATCATGCCAAACGTTTTTCCACCCTCAATGTGAAAGTACAACGTATAAAAATTAAGAAACATTTTTAGGGAAAAATAGGAAAAATAAAAAACTTACAACAACCTGGTTGCATAAGTGTGCACACCCTTTTCATACAGCTGTAATCAAAGAAATTATTCTGAATAACCCCAAGTAAAGACTAGCTGTTTCTGTAGGATTTTCTTCACATCTTCTTGGTTTCATCTGACTCCTGAAGCCATGGTCCCACTGTCAAATTGATCAGGTACAGAGAGGTAAAAAAATTTCCAAACATTGGATGTACCATGGAACACCGTGAAGGCCAGCATCAACAAGTGGAGAAAATGGAGCACCACAGTGACATTACCAAGAACAGGACGTCCCTCCAAAATTTATAAAAGGACAAGACAAAAACTTAACAGGGAGGCTGCCATGAGACCAACGGCAACATTAAAGGAGCTGCAGGAATATCTGAAAAGTACTGATTACTCTCTGCATGTGACAACAATCTCTCATATTCTTCACATGCCTGGGCTATGGGGTAGGGCGGCTAGACGGAAGCCCTTTCTCACAAAAAAAAAACAAAACATCCAAGCTCAACTAAATCACCCCAGACTATGTGGCAAAATGTGTTACGGTCTGATGAGACCAATTCCAAAAGGTATAATAATTCCATAATTCCAAAAGGTATGTTTGGAAAAAAAAAAGCACATCACCAAAAGAACACCATACCCACAGAGCAGCATGGTGGTGGCAGCATCATGCTTTAGGGCTGCTTTTCTTCATCCAGAACTGGAGCTTTTATCAAGGTGGAAGGAATCATGAATAGCTACAAATTAGTGCAAAACCTTCAGGTGTCTGCTAGTAAGCTGAAGATGAAAAGGAATTTCCTCTTTTAGCATGACAGTGACCCAAAGCATCCATCCAAATCAACAAACGAACGGCTTAACCAAAAGATCAATGTTTTTGAATGACCTAGCCAGAGCCCAGACCTGAATCCAACTGAAAATCTGTGGGGTGACCTGAGGAGGGCTGTGCACAGGAGATGCCCTTACAATTTGATGGATCTAGAATGTTTTTGCAAGAAAGAGTGGGAAAATTTTGCCAAGTCAAAATGCCATGCTGACAGACTCTTAGCCAAAAAGAGTGAGTGGTGTAATATAATCAAAAGGTGCTTCAACAAAGTATTAGTTTAAGGGTGTGCACACTTATGCAACCAGGTTATTGTAAGTTTTTTATTTTTCTTATTTTTCCCTAAAATGTTTGATTGTTTTTCACTTAATTTTTATACATTGTAATTTCACATTGAGGGTGGGAAAAGTTCTGACATGACTTATCTTGGTTTAATTTTTTTACATCACAAAAAACTGCTATTTTAACAGGGGTGTGTAGACTTTTTATATCCACTGTACATGTCCTTCAGTTGTTTTGCTTTTTGGTTCTTTTAACTTTGCGGAGTATGAAACCAAACCAAATGAAATAGCAAACAAGTTAAGTATCAAATTTCGCTCTGATTCAGACTCATCAAATGGATTAATAGGTATGAAAACGCTCCTAGGGAGTTTTCTCTTATGCAGTATTTAGATAGTTTGAATCGAACCCTGGTGTGTTTTCCCCCTTGGTGCAATTTGTTTAGGGAGGTGAGTACACAGCAGTTGCACTCTCATCTGGACCAAAACAACTGCTCAAAGAATGTCTGAGTGAGGTGGTCTTGTTCCGTTTCCAAACGGACTAGTGCAGTTGACATACTGTGAGAAAACAATTCAACCCAACTGCAGGAAGTAAAACAAACATACTATTTACTTTGGATTGTGGACAACATTTTTGTGTCAAAACAAGCTGCTAATATGAACCTCAAGACATTGTGTTCTGTACATTTGGACTGATAACGGAAAGAGAAAGTAAATGGTGGATGAGATACACAAACCATTTCAGATTTGTTATTTATATAATTATCTAATCAGTTATTTAGCACTGGATCCGTGTTCTCTGTGCTTAGATGATTTTTGTGATTTCTACACACACTTGGAAAAGGTTTGTTTAAATTTTTCCATCACCATATTTCTGACCAGAGTGTTTTTTTTAAAATACATTTTCAGCCCTACACACCCTTCAGCTAATGTTTTTTGCTTTTTTTAAAATTTATTTATATACAGTGTGAAATCAATCCAAACAGAGTAGCAAACAGACCAAAAGTATCAATTCCCATATACACAAAACAGTAGGTGTAAAAACACCCTTAATTATATTTTGACTCCATATGATACATCAGTATGACTAAATGCTGTAATAAGGAAATCTGTAACAGATATAATAATGGCTAGATGTGTGATTTTTTTAAAACAGTGGACTCTTTTGACCAAATTGTGTTTTTTTAAAAATGACAAACTACTGAGTTCTCACTGTAAGAAGTTGATTTAAAAACCTTATTGCCACTTCCCAGACTACATAATAAAACCTGTAATAATAATAATACATGTCATTTGATAACATCATCTTTGAAGAAATTGGTAGCTTGTAAATTTTGACATTAGGTTGTATTGTTACTGTAAAAATGTTTTGCTTACTTTGCATCATTCCAAAAAGTGAATGGACTCTGCAGTCTCAGGCCACTGTACGTCCCAGTGGGAATGATAATACAAACTTTTACCCTGCCATCATGTGCTGATTTATGTTTACGCATGTTATTCACTGATAAGAGGCTTAGGTCCCCTGCAAAAGGCAGAGAGATTATTATTTCTGCTGCCATGTCTTTTTCCTACTGGGTTCGCTGATGATACAGGACTTTAGTGGTTATGTCATGTCTTGTCTTGAAAATGGTATAGGTGACATAATGATTTATTTCTAAATTACATTTTATTTGGAGATAGAACCTTTTTATTTTGACATTGGAAAATGTGAGAAAATTTGTGATAAACATTTCCGTTGCTGAAATTGAAGGCATCATGTTCAGGTTTTTCACACATTGTAGTGTGTTTGTCTGTGTCAGTATATAGCCAAAGTCAAAATGATATGATTGATGCTCTGCAGAACAGGAGAAGGATCCTGAATTCTGGAACTCATGGGCACAACGTACTCTGGTGAAGGCTCTGGGGGAGAAGCACAACACAAACGTTGCCAAGAATCTTATCCTCTTCCTGGGAGATGGTAAGTGAAATTAGTGGCACTGCAAATCTCTCATATCTCTCATATTTATTTTCAATTTCTAGCTTTAAAAAATCTATGGTTGGATGCAAAAACCTGAGTTCACTTCTGATACTTGTGTTTTGCATTATTTCTGAGAAAAACTACTACAAATGTTTTGTCAGATTGCATTATTTTTACTAATATTTTCCCACTAATATAGTCAAAATTATTTGTAATATAAATACTTGTGTGCAACCGAATTTTAAGATCTATTTCTATTTCTCAAACTAAAAAAGGTGTATCTCTTTCAAAAATCCATTCATCTTTAGAAAGCGCTTTATCCTGTTCAGGGTCATGGTGGATCCAGAGCCTATCCCAGGAACACTGGGTGCGAGGGTTAATTTATTATCAACACATTAGTCTGGAGTTACTATGTCTTGGGAATGTCATTTAAAAAAAAAAAAAAAAAAAAAAAAGTGAAGTAACGTGACGCCAAGTATGGTGACCCATACTCAGAATTTGTGCTCTGCATTTAACCCATCCAAGTGCACACACACACCGTGAACAGCCTTTTTTGCCGCGGCGCCCGGGGAGCAGTTGGGGGTTCGGTGCCTTGCTCAAGGGTCTCACCTCAGTTGTGGTATTGGGGGTGGGAGAGAGCGCTGGTCATTCACTCCCCCCACCTACAATCCCTGCCAGACTTGGGACTCGAACCCACAACCTTCAGGTTACAAGGCCGACTCTCTAACCATTAGGCCACGACTGCCCCCTAGTAGTGATAATCTGTATGTCCATTAATAATTCTACATCCATCCATTTGTGTGACTGATAGTGAAAACTGCATAAGTTTCATTTGTGCAAGGGTGTCTATCTTCTGAGTAATAGTTTTATATCATAGATATCTTAAAATGCTGAATACTAGTCCTAAAGATGACGTTTTACCTATTTTAATGTAAAGCAGGCCAAAGACAAGAAAATGCAAATAAAAAATATATATTCCAGTGACTCATTTAAGAGCAATCTGGGTCAAAAATATTGAACACATAAACCCTATCTTTCACATAAAATCATGTGGTTATAATTATTTTAGGCATCCAAGAAATGCAGAAATCAAACTTAATTCAGTTTAATAGATGCACTATGGATGAATGTATTTTTGTGTGCAATTTTGCATAGAGTAGCACTAACCAAGTGGTGTAACCATACAGCATACCGCGTCTTACCATTTGAGACGAGGCTCTCAATTTAACACTCTCTGTGTGTTGAGCAATACGTGAGGTGTTAAAAAAACTTTTAAAATGAATCAAGCCCACACTCCCTCCTCTGAAAAAGGAGTTTTTTGTTTGTTTTTATCAGGAGAGACTACAGGGGTTTAAAACCAGCTAATTATTAATAGTAAAGCAGCAATGGCTACACAAATTGCACCAAGTCTTTAAGGTCTGGTGTATGGGAGTATATTGGCTTCCTGGTAAGTTATGACTGTGTGAAAAGGGAAGAATATCTCTGTTAATTTGGCTTCCTGTGTGCAAGGGTCTTACAGCCATCCTACTTATTACTAAGTATCTTACTATTACAAGTTTTCGCAAAACTTGAAACTCCAAATTGGGTTATTTGTTAAAACCAAGATCCCTCTAATTTATTTTTGCTTCGATAATAGACATAGGTCAGTGGTTTATAATTGCAAGGATGTTGACATCCAGCCCATAGACAGATGCTTTGACTGTATTCTGCCTCCGTTATTTTTTTGTCTTGTCTGCCAAATGATTTTAAGTAACACATAAGCATGCTATTATAAACACGATATGGTGAGTCACAGTGAAAACTAATGGTCTAAACTGCGTCTAGGTATGGGTGTACCTACAGTGACAGCGGCGAGGATCTTGAAAGGACAGCTGAGCGGCCACTATGGAGAGGAGGATCAGCTGGAGATGGACAAATTCCCCTACGTGGCCCTCTCTAAGGTACGGCACCACACCTCTTTGTCCTATCATTGCTTTCCTTTGTGCTCCTAATCCATGCTGTGACATAATAGCCCTTGTTGGTCACTGATTGTCCATTCATGTCTGAATGCACATGAGGTAATGTCCACGTCTGTTAAATAAAGCAGATGAAATCAAACTGGATACCACAGTGAGGACGTATTTTCTCAGAACTCAGAAACACGCAGGGTCATTATGAAGTCTGACTGTTAATCAGTACGTCTGACCTGCCTGGGTATATAATAAGGATGTGTGCAGTCTCATCACAGCACACCATTTAGTTTTCAGTCACTCAGTCATAGACTGTCAGCCTGGAGCACTTAGACAAAGGTCCAAAAGTGTACAAATCAGCATTTCCTTTACAGTGTAAAGTACTATAAATGTACAGTAAATAAAATAAATTGTAAAATCTATTTACAGGTCATTACTGTAGGTTTTTACAGTATATCACAGTATGTTTCCTGTAATATACTGTACATTTAAAATAAAATATAATCCACTACATTTGCTCATTTGGCTGATGTGTTTATTCAAAGTGACCTATAATTGAGACAGGATACAACTGAGCAGATAAAGGCTAAGGGTCTTGCTCAAGGACCCAACAATGGCACCTTGGTGGTGCTGGGATTTGAACTTCCAACCATCAGATCTGTAGCGCAAAGCTTTAACTACTGAGCCAACACTTCCCTCAACTAGCGTACACTGAGTCAACCACCATAACCGTCAGTATTTTACCAAAGTTTTATTAGCATATAAACATAAAAAGTAAAAGGCGCTTTGTGTTTTCCTAAAATAGTTGCTAAAATAAAGAACAGAGAAACATTACTCTAGTTTGCAGATGTTGACAGAAAGAATGTTTTTACCATTCTAACTCCCACATAAAAAACATTAGATATCTGCTTATGCATTGCATTTTCTGGTATTTTACCATAAAACCAAAATTCTGCTCTAAATTGCCCAATCATTTACAGATTGATTTCCTGTGAAATAACCATTTTTACTGTTTACATAACAGAATAATGTGATCTTATTTGAGAAATATTAGAAAATATAGAAAAATTCTATATATTTTATATCTGATACCTATACTTGTATTATTTATCTGTATCTATTATTATTCCATCTGGATCTGAGCGTAAACACCAGCTTGCTCTGGCATTAGCCCAACATCCAAGCTTTCTTATTTCACAAACATTCACAGCCAGCTTCTTTCTGTAGACCTACAACACGAACGCTCAGGTGGCAGACAGCGCTGGCACGGCCACAGCGTACCTGTGTGGAGTGAAGGCCAACGAGGGCACGGTGGGTGTGAGTGCAGCAGCTGTGAGGGGCCAGTGTAACACCACGCAGGGCAACGAAGTCACCTCCATCCTTAAATGGGCCAAAGATGCAGGTGTGTGCCAATGAAAAACTCAACTGAAGGAAAACAAAATGAAAAGAAAATAACAGAGAGCACATGAAGAGTATCTAGTAGAAATGGAAAAGAGAGATGTTTTTCTATTTTTTTTTAAGCCTTTGCCTAGGAAACAAGTATTTCACATATATTTCTGATGTACAGACATTATCCACTCTGTAATCCCCCTTTCCCTCTCCCAGTCTTTGCAATATACACTCTCCGAACACTTTATTAGGAACACCTGTACACCTACTCATTCATGCAATTATCTAATCAGCCAATCATGTGGCAGCAGTGCAATGCATAAAATCATGCAGTTATGGGCCAACAGTTTTGGGTAATGTTCACATCAACTATCAGAATGGGGAAAAATGTGATCTCAGTGATTTTGCTTGGTAAGTGATTGAGGCAGTTACTGAATTCTGGTTCAACATCTTTAAGTCTACTTACTAGGGTTGGGCAGGATGATGATATAATATTGATATTGTCTTAATTGAATTCACAATACACTCTTCTGAGATGGTGCAGGTATAGCAGTTTTTTTAAAATGTAGAATGTATATATATATATATATATATATATATATATATATATATATATATATATGTATATATGTAGTGCCTTGCAAAAGTATTCAGACCTCTGACCAATTTTCTCATATTACTGAATTTCAAATGGTACACTGAAATTTCATTCTGTTTGAAATTTTATTTAAAACACTGAAACTCAAAATCAAGGTGTAAGGTGACATTGGATCTATGTTGGGAAATATTTTTAAGAAAAATAAAAAACTGAAATACCTTGCTTGCATTCAAGTATTCAACCCCTGTGCTGTGGAAGCTCCCAGTTTACACTGATGAAAGAAATTGCCCTAATGAGGACATAGTTACCTTACCATTGGCACTTGTGAATCACAAGTTTCTTTAACATTTTCTGGATTAAAAACCCAATTGTTGAAGGCTCATTGGTCAGGCAGTGAATCTGAAGGAAGGAAAATGAAGACCAAAGAGCATTCTACAGAAGTTAGAGAAAAAGTAATACAAATGCATAGATTAGTGAAAGGGTACAAAATAATATCCAAGTGTTTGGATATCCCAGTGAGCACAGTTGGATCAGTAATCAGGAAGTGGAAGCTGCATCACACCACTCAGTGCTCAAACAAGAAGGAGAAGGAGCAAAGAAAGAATTTCATTGTACAGGGAAACTTGGTTTCCTCACTGTGCACATGACAATAAACGCTTTGAATCTTTGAATCTTGAATCTTTGAACTTGTGAGAGAAGCCACACAAAAGGCTAACAATCACTTTGAAGGCACTACAGAGTTCAGTGGCTGGGAGTGGAGTAATGGTGCACCAGTCAATCATACCTAGATCACTGCATAACACTGGCTTGTATGGTGGCAAGAAAGAAGTCGTTACTCAAAAAGTACCGTCAAGCATGTCTGGAATTTATCAGAAAGCATGAGAGACCTAGCTGCGATATGGGAAAAGGTTTTGTGTCAGATGAGACCAAGATGGAGCTTTTTGGCCAAAACTCAAAGCACTATGTGTGGCACAAACCTAAAACTTCCCATGCCTCATGACACACCATCCCTACAGTGACACATGGTGGTGGCAGCATCATGCTGTGGGGATGCTGCTCATCGGCAGGGACTGGATATCTTGTTAGAATTGAAGGAAGAATGGATGGAGCACAATATAGAGCAACTGCAAGAGAACCTGCTTTAGTCTGCTAAAAAAACTGAAGCTTGGGAGGAAATTCACCTTTCAGCACGACAGTGATCCCAAGCACAAGACCAAAGCAACATTGGAGTGGCTCGAGAACAAAAAGCTAAATGTCCTACAGTGGCCCAAGTCCTGATCTCAGTCCCATTTAGAATCTGTGGCACTATTGGAAATTTGCAGTCCACAAGCATCACCCAACCAACCTAAACATCCTGGAGCAAATTTGCCAAGAAGAATGGACCAAAATCACTCCAGCACTGTGTGCAAAGCTGATACATACATATTTCAAAAGGCTTAAAGCTGTTATTGCAGCAAAAGGTGGCTCTACCAAATATTAATGTGTGAGGGTTGAATACTTATGCAAGCAAGTAATTTAATTTTTTTTTATTTTTCATAAAATATTTCCCAACATAAATCCAAAGTCACCTTAAATTATTGATTTTGAGTTTCATTGTTTTAAATAAAATATCAAACAGAATGAAATTTCAATGTACCATTTGTAATTCAGTATAATTGCTCAGGGGTCTGAATACATTGGAAGGCAAGGCAAGGCATATATATGCACACCGATCAGCCATAACTTTTGCAAGGCACAGTGTGTGTGTGTGTGTGTGTGTGTGTGTTTATTTATATATATATATATATATATATATATATATATATATATA